GCACGTTAGCGGGCGTTGACGCGGCGCACGTTAGCAGGCGTTGACGCGGTGCCAAGTCAGACCGGCACCTCATCATCAGGTGTTTTTGGCACTTATTTTGCAGAAACGTTGAACTTACCGAAAAGTTGCAAGAATAGGCTAAAGCCCTCTCACGTGCCCTTTATTGGGTCCCCATTGTTCATGTTATGTCTTATCTGCTTTGTCATTCTCTCCCCCTCTCATGCACACACACACACACACACCATGCACACACACACACACCATGCACACACATACACACATACACACGTACACACATACACACGTACACACATACACACGTGCTCACATGCATGCACTCACACATTCACACATGTACATACTCACGTGTTCACATGCACGCATGCGTGCACTCACACACGTGTGCACGTACACACACAAACTCATAACTAGACAATTATTATTTCCCCAGAGCCTCTTGGACATCACAGACACAACACTTTTTCATTCCTGCACACTTGGGAGTGTGTTTCCTGAGAATGAGGACCCTCTGTACACACTCACAGCACTGACCCATCAGGACCTTTCTGAAGGTCACGCTGGCACTCACACTTCTGATGGAGGCCATGATCTGGGCGCCTGGGGTGCCTGGGGATGGGCATAGAGGGGGCTCAGGTGTGGCGGCCGTGTGGCCTTGTCTGCTCGGGTGTGCCTTCATTTGGGCTGGGCTGTGGAGGCGGGGACCATGGCCCTAAGGGTGCCGGGACCCAGGGCAGCCAGAGGAGGCCGCGGCCTTGGGAGCAGCTCCACAGTGCCTCCCGGTCCCCTGCAGAGGTTCACCCGGCCCAGGCCCCTCCTCGGCCGGCCCAGGTGGTGCCCCCAGAAGACAGGGTGTGACCGAGGGTGCCGAGGGTGCCAGGGAGAGGGAGCCCATGAGTCCCACCACCAACCCCTTCTTCCTGTGGCTCCCAGGAGTGCACCTGCCCAACCTGAGCCAACTGAAGTTGAACAACAGCCGCCTGGCCTCCGTGAGGTGAGCGTTCTGCCCGGGGGGTCTCTGGGGAGGGGGTCCTGCAGGGGCAGTGAGCTGAGCGCTCAGTGAGGGGCAGGGGAGGGGTTGGGATGAGGGGCCCTGGGCCCTAGAAGGGTCCCCAGTACCCTGCTTGCCCCCCAGGAGTCCTGCCACACTTGTCTCCCCTCCCACTGCCTTGCCTGATCCCCAGCGATGACCACTTCCTGGGCAGCGTGTGGAGGCGTCTGGGATGTTCCCACAGTACAGGGTCTGTCCTGGGTGGTGGTCCTCACTGGGGGAACAAGGTCTGCAGCCTGGGCTGGCCTGGCCCACGACCACTGACTCTTGGCCTGATGTAGGGGGGGAGGGGGTCTCTGGGGCCCTAACGCTGCCCACTGTTCCTTTTGAGGAGTTTTTGGAGTCTGACTGGCACACAGAGCCTTTGGCCCCCTAGTCAGTCAGGGCCACCCCTGTCACCCCAGAGCCGAAGGTCAGGGCGGCCACATGCAGTCCCCGAGGACCCACCCAGGGAGGCCAAAAGGCTCTCACTGACCTCCAGGCGGAGGTGGCCACCCCAGTGAGGAGCCCTGAGGGGTCTCTCTGGTTTGCCCCCAGACTAACCAAGCCTTCAGTGGGTTTCAGGGGTCCCCGCACCCACATGTAACCCAGGCCAGGAGCCGGGGGGGGTGCCTCGCTGTATGCCCCAGCCCCTGTGCCCAGCAAGAAGAGCAGAAGGACAAAGGAGGGTACTGCCCACTAGGGCCGCTGCCTGCTGAGCCCAGACCCGAAGCCAGAATCTTTCTGCTGAACAGAGGCCAGACCTCAGACCGCAAGGAAAGCATGTGTCTCCTGGAACAGGAAGATAATGCCTGACAAGGCCCCAGCGCCTTCACACTACAGCATTTTAATTAGCAACTTACAATCCAAAATGCAAAGCTAAGACAGTTTCATTGTTTATGCCATCTCATTGGCTAGAAAGAACACCAGACTTTACCGTTGGTATTTGAGCAAAGCGGGCTTCCTAGAAACACTATGGGGCTTCACAGCCATGCCAGGGCAGGGAGATTCCAGTCAAAATTCTAGAAAGTTCTCCAGATGTTTTAACTGGGCTCTAAGTTAAACTGTGTTCAGTTATTTCCAAGAGAGGCAATAAAGATATCTATTGCATAATCTCTCTTTAAATATTTTCTTCATTTATGCCACTGTCTATCAAATAAACTTCAGAAAGAATTTAATAGAACATAGGAGGATTTGGAAATGGAAGTAAAGAAAACCAGCCCTCACTGGGCGGCCTCAGAGCTAGAGAGGAAGAGCAGTCTGGATATCACACCAAACCTCCACAGGCTCTCCAGTGGACCATGAATTGGAAATAGATCAAGATTTGGAAAATGAACTTTCTAGAAGCGTGCTTTAATAGATGGTCAAATGCTACTTTAACAGAGATGTTAGTACTTTCTTTAACTTAACAAAGAAGGAAAGTTTCCATTGTTGAGGCTGACAGTTTAGCTCAAAGAACAATAAAAGCGTTCATGCATACGAAATTAAATGAAGGATGAGAACTATGACAGAGAAATGGAAGGCTTTGTAAAATTAAGGAACATGCTACACCATTTGAAATAAAATTAACAGCTCAGTAATTTCAAGCAAAGTGATTAGATCATAAATTATATGAAGATGTGTTTGTTCTTCGACAGCAACAGTGCAAAACAGAATGAACCTCTAAGTCCTTTCCAATACTGAGTCCTGAAAATGTTGTTTGCGGATCTCCATGGACTGAAGGGGACACAATCAGCGAACAGAAACTAGCCAATGAAGTACGGCAGACCAGTAAGCTACTATGGTAATTTAGCTGATTATAATGGAGATATTTAATGTATTACAATCTCAGACAGTATTGTAAGGGCTAGAAAATAATTTTAATGTAATGGCCGTAAGTTCATCAGAAGCTGAGAGAGAATTCATGAAAATAGCATCGATGTGAAGACAAATGTTCTATATAAACGGGATGAGCGACGGATGGACAATTGACTGACAGAAAATCTCACGGGAACAGCCTGCAGTGGTGGGTCACCTCAGTCAGGGGTCAGGCGAGGGCAGCGCTTCCCTAGTACTAGTGTGTGGGAAAAAAAATCACACTGACGATTTCCAAAACTCAGCCAATAATTTGGAATTCGTGAGAATAATTGGATGGGCAAGTTTCACTACCACCCAATGGCTTGCATTCTCTCATCACCAGGGAGGTCAAGCCTCTCTTCATGGGCCTGCTTGCTATTTGTGTTTCCTCTGTACTCATTTTTCAGGTCCTTGTATATTCTCAGTGCATTTTAGACGGCAAGACCCTCCTCCCAGTCTCTGCCTGTTAACTTTGTCCATGGTGTCCTTCACTTGAACAGAAATCCTCTTTTGATTTGGTCAAATCCATCTGTCATGGACTGAATTATGTCCCCCCAAAAATATGTGTATCAATTTGGCTGGGCCATGATTCCCGGTATTGTGTGATTTTCCCATGTGTGGTAAATCCTGCCTCTTTGATGTTCATGAGGGAGGATGGGCAGCAGTTGTGTTAGTGAGGCAGGACTCAATTTACAAGACTAGATTGTGTCCTGAGGCAACCTCTTGAGATATAAAAGACAGAGGTGAGCAGTGAGACAGGGGGACCTCATACCACCACCAAGAAAGCAGTGCCAGGAGCAGAGCGTGTCCTTTGGACCTGGGGTCCCTGCGCGGAGAAGCTCCTCGTCTGGGGTGACAATGAAAAGAAGGCTGACAGAGAGAGAAAGACTTCCCCTGGAGCTGACACCCGGAATTTGGACTTTTAGCCTACTTTACTGTAAGGAAATAAACTTCTCTTTGTTAAAACCATCCACTTGTGGTATTTCTGTTATAGCAGCACTAGATGACTAAGACACCATAGATTCTGCTTGTGCTTGTCCATTCACATCCCCAAGGTTAAAGAGATAGCCTGCTTTTCCTTCTATTCATTCATGGTCTAACTTGTCACTTTCAGGTTTTTAATCCAACTCATCTTCAAGGTCACCTTTGATGGTGGTACAAGGTTGGGACCCAGCTTTCTTCTTTGCCACATAATGAGTCAGTTTGCCCAACATCACCTACCAAATAATCTGTCACTTCCGTACTGATTGTAGTACCACCTCCATCCTTGTCCAGGTTCACATTCCTATGTTAATATGCTTACGAGCTCAGTTTCATCTGTTGTCTATTCTTTTGCCAATACCACATAGTTTTTATTTGTATGGCTTTGTAATATGTGTTAATATCTGTTAGGACAATATCCTCATCTTTGCTTTCTTTTTTCTAAATTGACCTAGCTATTTATGAACATTTATTCTTGCATCTGAATTTTACAATAAATTTGAGTTACACACACACACACACACACACACACACACACCATCCTGGAAATTCTATTGGCATTACAGAATAGTTACATACTAATTTGGGTTTACTTGTTAGATTTTATACATCCACGAATATGGCGTATCTCTTCCCTCATGTCCTTTTATGTCGTGTAATAGAATTTTTAAATTTCCTCTGTAAAGTTTGTATCAATTAGAATGCTTTCAGTTTGAAGTAACAGAAACTCATATCAAAATGGCCTAAAGAATGAAAAATTACTTATTCCTTCAATGCCTGTGATGTCCAAAAGCTGTTGTAGGCACAGGAAATACAACAGTGAAGAGAACAGACAAGAATTCCTGACAAGAAGCTCAAAGTTGGCTCTTTCAGGTGAGTTAGTTCAGCAGTAAAGTCTTGTAGCCAAAGGTCCAGGTTCTTCCCCACAGTATATGGCCGTCTGCCCTCATGCTTGTTCCCTCATGGTGCATCCTCAACACTGGATGACTGGGAGTGGGAACGTGCCCTCCTGTGTCCAAGAACAAGTGAAACATTTCAGCATTCTTCCCCTCATGTTTGCTGGCTAGAATTGAATCATGTATACACCCTCCTAAACCAATCACTGCCAAGGAGTTGGAATTATGACGGGCTTAGACTATCTAGGATACCCCCCACCTCACCACCACTTGGGACAGGGTAGCACATGGCTCCCTCCAGAGCACATGGCTCCCTCCAAAGCACATGGCTCCCTGATACCAGAACTAATTCCCGAATATCATATAGTATTTTCACGGTCATGAATGAGGTCTTGTTTCTGTTGCATTTTCCCGTTGATTATTGCAAATATAGAGACACACTGTTGATTGATATAAATTGGTTTATTGTATCCACCAATACTGCTGAACTGTCATCTTAATTCAAATAATTTATTTCAGTTGGGGTTTCTATATTGATGATTCCCTCATCAGCAAATAATGACAGTGTTGTCTCTTCACTTCCAGTCCTTACACTTCTCATTTCTTTTTCTTGTCTTATACCATTGGCCAGGATCACCAGTGCCATGTTAAATAGTAGCAGTGACAGCATCAGGCATCCTTGTTTTGTTCCTGATCTTAATGGGTATGTGTCTAAGTTTCTCCACCAAGAAAGATGTTTGCTGTAGATCTGCATCTACTGACATGACCATGAGACGATATTTCTCCTTTAGTCTATTAATGTAGTCAACTCCATTGATAATTTTATGATTGGAATTCATTCTTGCATTCCTGCAGTAAATGTTACTTGATCATAATGCATCACTTTAAAATCACTGTAACATTAAAATAGTATTTACCTAGCAGTTTCCACATCTATTTTAGTCAGTGAAATGGTCTTTTAATTTCCTAGTACTGTTCTTATCTGATTCTTGGAATCAAAGATCAATTCTTAAGATGTCTCTCTTTAAAGTTTTTTTTTTTATTTCCTTCTTTAAACTTCTGAAACTTCTTGTGTATTATATGAAATTATTGTAGAAAATAGAAAATACCTAATCCATGATAGTTAATTAAAACTCGGTTATAAAACAGGTTCAGATCTTTGGATTTGGAGAGTAGAGGGGTCTTTGGTCACCATTTTAATTTCTCTAATGGTTATTAGTTGTCTTAGTCATCTGGTGCTGCTATAACAAATACCACAAGTGGATGGCTTTAACAAAGAGAAGTTCTCTCACAGTCTAGTAGGCTACAAGTCCAAATCCAGGGCATCAGCACCAGGAGAAGGCTGTCTCTCTCTCTTGGCTCTGGGAGAAGGTCTTTGTGATGCATCAGTCTTCCCTTGGTCTGGGAGTATCTCAGTGCAGGAACCTCACGTCCAAAGGACATGCTCTGCTCCTGGCACTGCTTTCTTGGTAGTATGAGGTTCCTGTGTGTCTCTGCTCGCTTCTCTCTTTTATCTCTCAAAAGAGATTAGCTTAAAACACTATCCAATCTTGTAGACCTCATCAGTATAACTGCCACTAATCCATCTTATCACATCATAGTGATAGAGTTTACAACACATAAGGAAATCACATCAGATTACAAAATGGTACACAATCATACAATAGTGGGAATCATGACCCAGCAAAGTTGACAGATATTTTTTGGGGACACAGTTCAATCCATGACATTAGTCTAATCAAGTTTTCTATTTCTTTTGTTGCCAGCTTTGTCTAGGTTTTCCAAAATTGTGTATACTTTGTTTATAATGGTCTTTCATTATTTTTACATCTCTGCTATACCTATAATTATTTCTGTTTAAACTCTGAATGTTTATCTGCATTGTCTCTCATCTTATCTTTGATCAGTCTTGCTAGAGGATTGTCTATTTATCTTTTTAAAGAATCAGCTCTGGGCTCTGTTAATCTCTGTTTTTTTCTGGTCCTTATCTTTATTATGTCCTTCCTTCTTATACCTTTTGTTATTTGTTTTTCTTTTTCTAGCTTCTTGGACTGAATGCTTAGCTCAGTTATTCTAACCTTCCTAGTTTTTTGATAAATATATTTAAAGATTTCAGATTCTCTTTATGTACAGCTTTAAGAGGATCCTACAAATGTTTATATGCTTTGCTTTTTGTCATTAGTTCTAAGTATTCTGTAATTTTCCTATTAATTTCCTCTTTAATCCAAGATGTGGCAAAATCTACTAGTTCTTCTTCAATATTTATTTTTCTGTAGTAATAGGATTCCCAATTTTTAGCTGGGCACATGACCACCCAAAATAAACACGAGATTTCCCAGCCTCCCTTGCAGCTAGGTGTGGCCATGTGACTCAGTTCTGAGCCAGTGGAAGAATGTGTGCTAACTCAGAAAAAAAGTGGCATAAAATAATAATACCATCACAGAAATGAAGACAAAATTTGAAACAATACTGCAGAAAACCCAATAGGAGCTATGGAGACAGGAATGATAAAAATGAAAAAAAAATCACCAATGAATGGAGTTTTAAAATGACAAATACAGAAAGCAGATAGAGATCTAATATATGCATTACTGGAATCGTCACAGAAGTAAACTGAAGTAACAGAAAAAATATATTTAAAGATTAAAGAAAATTGTCAGAAATAAGACATATCTACAGATTGAAAGGGCATGCCATGCCTTAGAAAAAAAATCGACACCAAATTGCCAATACTGAAACATACCCTAATACAGTTACTGGACTTGAAGATAAAGATAGAATTCTTTGGGCAGCCAGGAAAAGAGATCAAGTCAGTTTTTAAGGAGGAATGAGAAAGTGAGCCTTTACTTAGTCTTCTGCACAGAAACACTTAAAGCTAGAAGACAGTAGTACAGTGCCTACCAAAACCCAATGGAAAGAAAGTATGAACCAAGAATTTTATACTCAGCCAAATGGTTGTATGCTTATAGAGGCAGCAGATGTTTGTGAATGAGTTGGAGATCAAGGAAAATAGTTTCCATTAGCCCTCTTGAAACACAAATTTCAGCCAATTAAGAAATGGTTGGAAAAGCCATGTAAGGCAATATGCAGTGAATCCACGTAACTAAAGAACAAAGACTAAAGCAAGTGTGGAGATTAGGGTGACAATAAAACCTAAAAACTCAATGGACAGGTTGAACAGTGGATGAGATATAACTAAAGGGGGAAGTAGTGAGCTGGAAGATAGATCTGAAGAAATTACCCAGCCATGCAGAAATCTGAGGTTCGTCAGGGAAAGCCTAAAAGATGAGGGGACATTTTGTCATGGATGAAGTGAGGAAACAAGCCTTGCAGCATCTGGAGAAAGAATATTCCAAGGAGGGAGAAGAGCAAGTGTAAGCCCTTAGGCATGAAAATGCGTGGTGTATTTCAGGAAAACAAGGAAGCCTGTGTGGCTAGAGTAAGGGAATTGACAAGGAGAGATGGCAGCGGACCCAGCAGAGAACAGTACGTGTACAGAGGGAGTAGAGCTGCCCAGGTCCACGGCCACCTCCAGGGACCAGTCTCCACCCAACAAGCTGGCTCACCGCTAGATCAGCCTACAGAGAAGCCCCCTTCCCCATCAGTGCCTCCAGTGGCTCAGGGCTTCCAGGCAGCATTTCAGAGCCTCACTCCCAAATCTTAATGCCCGAGAAGCTATAATCAGAAACATTATGACACGTGCGTCATGAAACGGAAAGGACCCCAGAGGAAACAGATGGTGTGGGGGAGGCGGCTTCCAAGGAATCTTCACTTAGTATTCTGAGACATGGAAGAAGATATTGTTTCCATAAAACAAGAGCAGCTTGCTATGAAAAAGGATCAGAGAACAATGATGAGCTCTTGGAAATTAAAACTATGATGGCCAATATAGAAGTATTAATAGTAAGGTTGGAAGACAAAGGCAAGGAAATCTCCCAGAAAGTAAAAGAAAAGGCGAAGAGATGGAAATAGAAGAGTTAAGAGGATGCAGATCAGTCTCAGAGGCCCAACATCTGAGTAGCAGGAGCTCTCTGAGAACAGAGAAAATGAAGGAGAGAAAATCCAAAAGAAATAACATACAAAAATATCCCAGAAATGAGGACCATTGGTGAGTGGGCCCACGCCCAGATCAGGAGATGTGGGACAGTCAGGTGGAGAGGATCCCAATGGGCAGAGGTGGAGACACCTGGCCTTCCATCTGCAGGGGAGGAGCTGGCAGAGGAAAGGGCAGAGATGAGTCCACAGAGAGGGAGAATGGAGGGCGTGCAAGCTTGGCTCCGTGAGCAAACCCCACTGGGGAAGGAGCCCACTCGCCCACCCCCAGTGCAGTGGGCAGCTCTCCACGGCCAGGCCCAGGCCCTCCAAGGGTCAGAGAGGATGGAGGGCACCCTACTACTTCGGTCTTCAGAGCCCTGCCCAGGCTCAGACCAGGAGGCTGCAGCACAGAGGGAAAGGCAGGATCCCTGGGGCTCTAGAACCCCTTCCTCTGTCTGGAGGCCTCTACAGCCACAGTCACAACTGCCCCTGCACCTGGAGACAGCCAGGTGTGGGTGGTGCTGGGTGCAGGGCATGGCCCAGGCCCTCGCCTACACCCCAGGACTGCACTGACCACCCAATCCTGCCTTCTGCAGAGACCTGGGCACATCTCTGGGCCACCTGCAGGTGCTCTGGCTGGCTCGCTGCGGCCTGCCTGACCTGGACGGCATTGGCTCCTTCCCAGCCCTGAAGGTGGGTGCGCAACACCCAGGGCTGGGGGAGGGACACAGGGCCAGGCCCCGGCTGAGTCCCTCCCCCTCTCCCGGCTGCCCAGGAACTCTATGTGTCCTACAACAATGTCTCAGACCTGAGCCCACTGTGCCTGCTCGAGCAGCTGGAGGTGCTGGACCTGGAGGGCAACAGCGTGGAGGATCTGGGACAGGTGCGCTACCTGCAGCTGTGCCCGTGGCTGACCACGCTTACCCTGGAGGGCAACCCGGTGTGCCTGCGGCCGGGCCCTGGCCCCTCCAACAAGGTGCGTAGGAGGAGGAGGCATCCCATGGGTCTAGCTCCTCAGCCCTCCCACCGTCTGGGGACCTTTCTACCTACCTGAACTCTACTGAGCCCCTTCCAGCTCGAGGACCTGCCAGGAGGCAGGGAGCCTCCCCAGGACGCAGTCCACCTGCTGCCCTGTGGCTTGTTTACCTCTGAGCTCTTCTCTTCTGTCTCAGCAGTGCCAATGCATCTTCCTGCTGCCGCCCACAGACCCACACCACCACATGCACATGCCAAGCCCAGGTGTGCAGGCACCCTCCGTGAGGCCCATGCACCCACCATGCAGGACCTCAGATCTCTGCCCAGGATCTGCACTGAACCCTGTACACACAGATGCCCGTGCACACGAGTTCAAAACCACCCACACCCCAGAAAGCCTCTGTACACAGCACATGGACCCACCTCTCACACGTAGGCTGGGCACACCCGCCAGGGAACATGCAGGCCCCTTGTGGCTGGAGCTCACGCCGTTCATCCCCCAACCCCAGCTGACCGATGCTCAGTGCAACCATCCACTCGGGGCTCTGGCTGGGGTCCGCCCAGTGCATGTGGCCACCCAGCAAGGCCAGAACCCTGAGCTCAGGGAAGCTCCACGGGCCAGAGGGCACCACTGTCCCCTGGCCAGGTAAGGCCACACATCCCTAGTGGGTGAGAGCCCAGACCCTAGGGTCCTCACAGCCCCCGGCACCCAACAGTAACTGAAGGCCAGCCTGGCAGGGGGACAGCATCCTGACCCCAGGTCCCCTGCCTGCCCTGCCCTATTTGGGTCTGGAAGAGGGAGCCAGGACCCAGGCCTGCCTTCCACCCCTGCAGGTGCCCCAGGGCTACAACTTCCGGGCAGAGGTGCGGCAGCTAATCCCCCAGCTGCAGGTCCTGGATGAGGCCCCGGCTGCACAGACGGGACTGCCAGCCGCCCGGACACTAACCCAGGACTGGCTCATGGTGAAGGAGGTCATCAGGGAGGGCAGCGTCCTAGACGGCCTGCTGCCCGGGCTGGGTACGGGGCCACACACGTTCCCTCCAGCAAGGGCACTACCTGGCCTGGAGGCCTAGCCCCTGAGCCCCCCAAGAGGAGAGGTTTCCACCCCCAGCCCCCATCAGGAGGAGAGGTTTCTACCTCCAGCCTCCCCCCAGGAGGAGAGGTCTCCACCCCCAGCCCCCCCCAGGAGGAGAGGTCTCCACACCCAGTCCCCCTGGGAGGAGAGATCTGTACTTCCCCCCAAGAGGAGAGGTCTCCACACAGGTCTCTACACCCAACCCCACCAGGAGGAGAGATCTCCACACCCAACTCCCCCCCAGGAGGAGAGGTCTGCACACCCAGCACCCCTAAGAGGAGAGGTCTCTATGTCCCCCCAGGAAGAGAAGTTTCCACGCCCAGCCCCCCCAATGAAGAGAGGTCACCACACCTAGGCCCCCCAGGAAGAGAGAGCTCCACACCCAGCCCCCACAATGAAGAGAGGGCACCATGCCCAGCCCCCCAACGAGAGGAGGTCTTTATGTCCCTCCAGACCTCTCAGGGGCCACATCGTGCCCTCACTGCCCTGCTCCGTCCCCAGAGCCCTGCACACCAGCCCTGGGCCACGCCCTCCCTCTTGGGCAGCACCCATGGGGGCCTGGTCTTGTCTGGGCCTCCCACCCCTCAGCCAAAGGAGAGGAGGGATCTGAGACTGAGGATCTCTGGAAGCAGACAGAACTCAGAGGCCAAAACCTGCCTCCCCGTGTTGCTGGGCCTCGGGACACACAACTTCAGGGGGTACCCGGCCTGCAGTTTGTGGTGGGCTCTTGGGCTGCCTGGCTGGCGTGAGCCTTGGTGACCTCCAATTCTGACCTTGGCAGATCAACCTCAGGGAGCCCCCGTGCGGCTACTAGGCCCCAAGCTGTCCCTGCCAGAGGCCCAGCCCCGGACCCCCAGCCCCTGGCCCCTCTCCTTATTGGTTCCTGGGGGCCCCCTGACAGAAGATCTGCTCCCCGAGGACCCAGCCTCAGAAGATGATGCCAGCAACCTCACCCACGGTAACTGACCCGCCTTGGCCCGAAGCTGACCCTGCAGCCCTCGTGCCCTGTACAAAGCCCAGCCACACCTTTTTCTGCAGGCGCCGGCCATGTCCTCTGTGGGAACCCCACCAAAGGCCTGAGGGAGCGAAGACACCAGAGCCAGGTACAACCCACTTCCCCCGTAGACCAGCGTCCAGGGCCCCAGTTGCTCCCTGTGGGCCAGCATCCAGGGCCCCAGTCCCCCCGTGGACCAGTGTCCAGGGCCCCAGTCCCCCCCAGTGGACCATCATCCAGGGTCCCAGTCCCCTCTCATGGGCCAGCATACAGGGCCCCACTCCCCCTGTGGGTCAGGGTCCAGGGCTTTGTGCCCCTATGGACCAGTTTTCAGGGCCTCAGCCAAGGTTGTGGACCCAGGTTGAGGTCCAGAGCCTCCGTCCTGACAGTGTCACGCCCTATAGCCCCATAGCCTTCCTAGGGCTGGGGCCCCAGCTCTCCAGTCCCCACCCCAGCTGAGGGAGTCCTTCCATCCCCAGGCTCCTCCCCTCTCCCCGTCTCCTCCCCAGTCACAGACTGTGGCTTCCAAACCAGCCCTCTCCTTCCCCAGGCCTGGGCACCCCTGGAGCAGCTACGCCGACACAGGCCGGCTGATCTCTCTGCCAGCCCCTCTGCCCCAGGCCCGGACCCTGGAGACAGCCCTGACCTGGCCTTGGCCGAGCTCCGTACCTGGAGAGAGCTGTGCCTCCGGTGGGTGCCCCTCTCCTGCCAAGCCCTGAGGATGGCTGAAGGAGCCTGAGGCAGCAGAGGGGAACCCGGCTGCAGCTTCTTCCCCTCCCCCCGTTACAGACCCCTCCCCTGTAGGCACCTGGAGACCCTGAAGGAAGGGACAGCAGCCTCTGGGGGTCCACGGAGGTGCCCTGAACAGCAAGAGGATGAGGCTGGGCCCAAGGCTGCCCCCGGGCCCCCCAGCCCAGCCCCAGGTACTGAGCCTTCCCCCCAGGGCCCAAGAGTGACCGCAACGCCCTCCTGGGGATGGGGCCCCTCCTTCCTCAGTCAGGCCGAGAGGGACTGTGACAGGGAGGTCTTGTTCTGGGGGTGGGGGCTCGCCACTAAGGGAGGGGCTGCACTGAGAAGTGGCATGAGTCCCGAGTCCTCCCTCCCACCTCCTCCTTTTCTGCCCCTCTGTCCCCCCGCCACCAGCCCACACAACCCGGAGGTCACCTAGGCTGGTGGATCCAAGGAAAGGAATTCCAGAAAAGGGTGGTGCGAGCAGAGCCAGGGGTCCAGGTTTGGGGCTGCAGGATTGAGGTGGGCAGGGCCTCGCTGAGGGACAGTGGCTTCTGAGTGACCTCGGATGGAGTGGAGCAAAGGCAGGGGCTGCAAGGCAGAGGCCCCTCACCCAGCGGGGTCCGCTCCCCGGAGGAAGCTCACCTGGACCAGCGGCAGCAGGGACGCGGGCTCTCAGGGTTGGCCAAATGTCCCTCCTCTGTGGGTCAGGGAGCAGGGCAGGCCGACCGCCCTCCTGGGGTCTGCAGCCCATGCTGGCTGGTGACTGGGGGGTTGGAGAGAGGGGCGGGCCCTGAGGCCAGGAGCCCCAAGAGGGGAGGACAAGAGGGGTGGACAGGGATCACAGGAGTGGATGGAGAGCAGGCAGGGTCAGGAGGAGGAGGAGGTAGCCGGAGTTGGGACAAGGCAGTGGGGGGCTCAGGGAAAATGGTGCAGGGCCTCCTGGCTCTAGGGGCATGTGGTAACCATGGCCACACTGCCCAGCCTACTGAGAGTGGGTGCCAGGGCTATGCTTTATGCAAGTGGCTTAGGAACTGGCCCCAGGCCAGCAGCCTGGAACAGGCCCTGTGGGGGCGGGGCCCAGGCCTTAAGGGCTCCCTGCCTGCCCCAGAGAGGCTGGTCAGAGGTGAATGAACACTGCTGTGGACTGCCAGGTCACAGCACCCATGGGGAGCACAGGAGCGGAGAGAGGAGTGCAGCCTAGTGAGGCGGGGAGGCTGGGGTGTGTTTGGGGGTATTGCCTCCTTGATGACGGCTGCGCTGCCTGGGGGGGCAGGAGGTGGGAGAGGGGCCCTGGGGCCGCCTGGGGAGCTGCATCTCTGGCCACACTGGACACTCCTGCCCCCTCACCCCCCCCCCCATTCTTCCAACCACCTCCTAGCACCTATGACCCCTTTCACCAGCCTCGGGACTTACTGCCTTGGGTGCAGGGTGGGTCCGTGCCCCTCCCACAACTGTAGGCCTGGGCCTGGGCTGAGGGTCTGCCTGCTTCCTTGTTTTTCAGAGCCCTTGGGGGCCTCAGGCTGTAAACTGATCCCTTCTCCCCCCAAGTACCCGATGCCACCCGAGTCAGGCACCAGCTCCTGGGGGCCCACAGAGCAGCCGTTCAGGGGGCGTCGGCTCAGGGGCCTGGGGCAGGGACTGGCAGCTGTGACCACCCTGAGGGCCCTGGAGGTGGCCTCCACGCCAGCATCGGATGCAGCAACCCGACCCCCAGGCCTCCAGTACATGCGGGCCCTGGACCCCATCACCTCAGCCCAGTCCCACCCTTAGTATAAGCCCCCACCCACTGGCAAGCTTGCCCGGACGGTGGCAAAGGGGTGCCTGTATGGCCATGTGGCCTGGACTCTGGTGTGCGTAGGGGTGGGGGTGGGCCTGGCTCCTGGAGAGGCCCCATGATGGTGGGGAGCAGGGGTGGGAATGAGCCCGTGGGTGGCAGAGCGAGGGCCAAGACCAGCCAGGGTAGGTAGGCACAGCCTAGCTGCCTGCCCCTTGCACGGGCTTGGCCTTCTGGAAAGGGTCAGAGGGGCCGTTGGCTGTAGCTGGGGTGGGTCTTGCTGGGAGGGCTTCAAGTTCCACCCTGCATCGCTGATCTAGCTGCCATTCACAGTCCTCACCACCCTCGTTGGCGCCTCCCACTAGCTCCTCAGATTAACGGCCGACTCTCAGCGCTGAGCCGCCCCACGACAGACCGCTGTGGCCCGGTCCCAAGCGCTCACTCTAGGCGGCCACCGTGTGGCCGGGCTTCCCATCCCGTGCAGTTTCTCCGTGCGTGGAGGGGGCAGTCCCGTCCCCCCTCCTAAGTCTTGGGGTGGGACACCCCGGAGACCGAAGAAATCATTTTCAACTCCCAGGTGCGCAGAACATGGTTTACTTCGTAGGCAACGTTGGTTCAATAAATTATGCAGCAAGGGCACTGCCTGTCTCCTACACTTCTCTCCCCACCGCTGGGCTGCCCCAAGCGACCTCGTCACCCCTGGCTCCCCCCTCCCCGCTCTCCGCCACAGGGCCCACCCTTGCACACCCCTACTCCCGCCGCCACAATCACGGAGACTGCTGGGTGAACGCAGGCTAATGTATTGCCCGCCCTTCCGTCGGTCCGTCGGTCCGTCGGTCCGTCGGTCCACGCGAGCGGCGCTCACACCCGCCCACACGCGTCCACGGTGATCGGCGGGCAGCTCAGGAAACGAAAGCCGTATTTGCTCTCAGCGGTGGTCTGCACCGACAAGGCCACCATGGGGCAGCTCCGGTCCACGCCTTTCCGGCACACCTGGGGAGGGGCGGGCCCCGTGAGGCGGGCCGAGGAGGGAGAGGGGCCAAAAGGGGGCGGGCGCGCCGGGAGCAGCGGCCCCGGACACCCCGCACGTACTCGGCCCATTCTCACCCGGACCGTGTGCTCCTTCCTGGCCTGGCTGCCGTCGAGGCCCGGCCTGGCCTCTGCGCGGGACAAGGATGGAGGGGGTCAGGCCGGCCGAGTCCTCCCTGCTCCGCCCCTCCTCCGGGCCCGCGCGCACTCACCCGGGATGGTGGGCAGCGACTCCAGGGCCTCGGCCTCGGCGCCCTTGGGCCGCCCCGGCGTCTCCCGCGGGTGGATGAGCTTCTTGGAGCTCAGGAGCGGCAAGAAGACCCGCGTCCTGGTGGGGCGAGGGGGTCCTGAGAAGTCTGCCCGCGACAAAGGGCGGGCCTGACGGGGGCGAGGCCTGGAGAGGCGGGGGCCCGGGAGACGGTCCCGGCGAGCGGGAGCCCTAGTTAAGAGAGGCTTGGGGCGGGGTCTAGGGAGGTGGAGGGGCGGTCCTAGCAGAGGCGGAGTTTGGACCCTGTGGGCGGTCCTAACGAGGGCTGGGGGCCAAAGTGGTTCCCGGCAGGTGCCGGCCTGGACAGCTGAGGGGCAGGGCCTGGGGGAGGCGCGGGGCGGGGGAGGTGGCGCAGACCAGAGGAACACACGGTCCCCACCTCGGCCTCCCGCGCTCCGCCCGGGACCCCCGCGCCCGGCGCTTGCGCGAGGACCGAGACCCACACCGCTGCTCGCAGATGTCGGCGCCCGGCTGGGCCTCCGAGAGCGGGAAGCGGTCGATGGATAAATCGGTGTTGTCGGAGAAGTTCCTCGAGACGGAGGTCACACAGTGCGGGGCCTGGTACTCGCTAAGGACCTGCGGGGAGAGGAGGGGCGCGGCGGTCACTCCCGCCCGTGAGGCCGCTCCGCCAAGCCCTGGCCCACACTGACCTCGCCCTTGGGGTTCAGGAGGAGGGTCACGCAGCCACGGCTGGAGTGGAAGTTGACAGACTCCTGGCCCAAAGATGCGGGCGGGTGCTTCTTGGTGCTGCTGGTCCCCTCGCCCCACACCTGCGGGGACAGAGGAGGTGGGTGAGGACCCAAGCGTGGGCGGGCGGAAAGGGCCGGGCGGGCGGGCGGCCGGGAGGGGGCGCACCGTGACATGGTGCCGCGGCGCCAGCAGCGTGCCAGACGGGAAGCGGTAGGTGCACACCGGGAGCTCCTGCAGGAGCTGCTGCAGCACCAAGCCGCCCAAGTCGGCCGTCTCCTCCAGCGACTGGTTGAGAACGCGGACGAACTTCTCGCGGCGGCTCACGGCCACGATCTTCAGGCAGGAGCCTATCAGTCTGCAGGAAGGGCCACGGTGCGGAGACGCAGGCCCAGCCCGCCCTGACAGCCGCCCAGGACAGCCCAGCCGGCGCCCTCGGGGCTGCGACGCCCCTCACCTCCCGTGAGGCCGGTGGTCGGAGACTTCGCTGGCCTTGGGCAGCAGGCCGGTCTGGTCTGGCGTGTCCGCGACGGTTTTCTGGAGATCTAGGGAGAGAACGCATATCTGCCACAGGAACCCCTATATGGAGCGGACACTGAGGATGTGCCTTCCAGCCAGGACCTGGCCTGCAGCCCCCTGAGAGTCCGCAGGGGAGGGAACAGTGCCAGGGATCAGATTAGGGGGTCAGGAGGCTTAAGGGGCACCCCCTAGTACTTGAGGGCAGGGGGCAGTGCCAGGCTGAACATGGAAGAGGCCTGTCTTCCTAGATCACAGCCTCTGGTTCACAATGCTAAGCCCTACGGGCCAAGCTTGGGGAGGTCAAGGGGCCTTGCCCTGTGCTGCCACCTGCGTCTTGGGCTCTGGAAGGGGGTGGCAGCCCTGCCTGTGCAGGAGGGCAGCAAGGGGTGATGGTAGCCGGGGAGCACCCACTGCACCTGCAGGTACTGCATCTGTGCTGAGGGCCTTCTCCTGCCCCCTGGTCAGCTGGAAAGAGAAGCGGCTCGACTCCCCAGGCGGGTGCCCTGTTACCCTCTGCACGGGTGAGGGCACGGAGAGCTGGGAGCTTCTGGTGTCAGAGTCTGTGGCCCCTGAGCTGCTGGAGCCCAAGGGCAGGCTGCTCCACTCCACGCTCTTGGTGTGACCCTCCATGCGCCCTGGGCGGGATTCGGACTCCCATTCGTTCTTCGGGGGCTGTGGTGGCGGCCGTGGCTGCCTGTGGGCCATGCCCTGCTCACTGGATGCTGGCTTTGGCCCTCGACACCCAGCCCTGTCCCACCCACCTTTCCGGGCTGGCGAGAGCATACCAGTTCATCTCTGGGTACCTGGGACCCAGCTTCAAAGAAGGGGCACAGGGCAGGAGCCCTTTCGGTGGTCCAGAGACCCCACCTTGCTGTGTTTTACAGTTCAGAGAACTGAGGCTGGGAGGGTTTAAGCGACACACGAGAAACAAAGGTAGAGCAGGGACTCCAAGGCCCTCCCAGCCCCTAGGGGCCTCCGGCCCAGCGCGTTACTTGTGCTCTGAAAGGACCACCTCCGTGAACAGGTTGGGGTACCGCTGGGCAACACTGTTCCAGTCCACATCCTTCAGCTGGAAACCCTGGCCAGGAAGCAACAGGCACGTGGCCCTACCCTCTCCATCCCACGGGGCTCAGAGCCCTGACTGCAGGTGGGGGGCCTCGCTCACCTCCCCAGCAGGGAGCAGCTCGTTCTCAGAGGAGTCACTGGGATCCATCAGTGTCTCTGCTGTCACCACCTACAAGAGGGGCTCAGAGTCCTGGGTGCAGGGGTGGGGGGGGCACCCCTCCCCCACACAGCCTCTCCCCTTTGACTTCACCACTGCCCCTCACACACACACACACACACACACACACACACACACACACACACACACACACGTGTGCCAGCTGCAGGTGGGCCCAACCACAGGGCACGTGGGCCCTCCCTGCCCGAGGCCACACTCCAGAGCGCCCAGCACAGGCGCCAGTCTAGAGGTGGCGTGCTGGTTGCCCCAGGGAAGACCAAGAAGGAGGGGAGAGGAGGACCTGGTGGCACCGGCTCACCTCCACGCTGCCGGTCTGAGACCGCAGTATGCGGCCCACCCAGGAGGCTTGGGCCAGTTTCAGGAGGCAGGACTTCTGGAAGGTCTGGAGCTCCACCTCCAGCTGCTGCAGCGTTTCGATGGTCTGCAGCAGCCGCTGCTCCAGATGCTCTTTCTCCTGCTCGCGGGGCGGGGCGGGCAGGGTAGGCGGGGCCTACACCCAGTCGTCCCTTCTCCAGGCCCCGCCCCCGTGGGCCAACCCCTGCCTGTCTCTGACCCCAGTTCTGCACACCTCCATCCAGACCCTGCCCAGGCCTGGCCCTGATCCCAGCCTGGTCCCTCCCCCCACCCCACCCCCGCCCCTCCCCTCAGTCCCTCATCCCAACCGGCCCTCACCAGCTGGGCTTGTTTCTTCTGCTCTCTCAGCTCCAGGGTCAGCTTCTGCACCTGGTTCTGCAGGAACTTTTCTTGATTTCGGTAGCTTCTGGGAGTAAGGCCCGATCTCAGCAGCCCCCACCTCTGCTCAGCAGCCAAGAGGGAAGCAGGAGGGGCCCTCTCTTCACTGCCATCAGAGCCTGAGGACTAGGGTGCAGCTGGCCTCCTTGGCTGAAGGGCTGGGGCCAGGCCAGGTCCCATCCTTGACAGGTCAAGTCTGGGTGGGTTCCAGGTGGGGGGCAGGGATTGGGTCTAGCTCTAGACTGGGGCCCAGGTTGAGTTCAGCCCCTATGGACGTGCCCAGGGTTCGGGTCTGGATCAGGTTCTCGGCTCACTGACTTGTCCAGGATTAGGGTGGGGGTCAGGGTCAGGCAAGGACTAGGACTAAGGGCAAAGTTCGGGGTAAGGGTCAGGGCTGGGGGTCCATTTGGAGTCCTGGATAAGGTCAGACAGAAACCAGGAATTGGGGCCAGGACAAGGACCAGATTAGGGCTGGAACAGAGGGCCAGTTTGGGCTGAGGGGCTGGCGCTTCGCTCCTGACCTCTCTGGGGGAATCCCAGCCACCTCCTGCAGGATGTGGTAGTACCGAGCACCCTGGCCGCCCTGGACAGCCCACCGCAGGGCCTGGATCTCCAGCTCCCGCTGTCCCCACAGCAGCCGCAGGGTGCGGGGGTCCAAGGACTCGGGGGCTGCCCTGTAAGGCCAGCACCCCTTGCCTTCATCAGGCCCTGCCCTCTGGCTGGCCCACCCCAAAGGCTGACCACCCCTTCCCCCAGGCCCACTTCCTTACTGCAGGTCGATGGGGAAGAAGACTTGTGAGGACTGGGGCTTGGCGTCCTGATGGCCTGAGGGAGCCACGGGATCCACCGCTGCTCCAGCTGGAGGCCCCAGGCCACCACGCACTGGCTGTCTGTCCGCCAGAGATGCGAGCGTCTTTTCCTCAGCCTCTTCAGCGTCCTGGCAGAACTGGGGAGCCATTCTAGATGTTCTCGGGGAGCTAGGAGGGGTGGTGAGGCCAAATCTGCCCTGAGCTTTCCAGGGTGGCACTCTCTGATGAGGCCCATGTGTGTGTCTACCCAACAGGACACCAGACGGCATGTCATGTGGGTGTCCACACCTGTGTGTCTCTGGCCAGGCCAGGGCAGCAGGCCATTCTCAACACGTGACCTGTGTGTTTGCACAGTTCCTCCCTGTCACCCTACCCCTGGGGCCTGAGGTCCTGGCCCTCAGCCTACAGCAAGGGTCCTCAGAGGTGCTGGCCCTTTGCCGGTGACACCTGTGTCCCCCTCCAGACCCAGGGCCTCACCCCAACACTCACCTGAGGCCTGAACTCCAAGCAAGCCTGGGGAGGGAGGGGCTCTATCTGTTGTCATGGCTACTGGCACCCAGAAAGGGAGGGGCTGTTTGTTACCAGGAGATTCCAGGGAGACCTCAGCCCAACTGAAGGAGAAGCTGTGAGAGGCCGAGCTGCTGCCCAGCTAACCTGAGTAGGCTAAGGGGACCAGCAGCCCCTCCTCAGCCTGCCTTGGGGATCGATGGATATTGGGGGCATCGCTGCCCGGTGAGTGTGCGCTGAGTGTGGGTGTGGGTGTGTCCGCAGGCCGGCAGGACAGCACTTCTGGGAATGTGGACCTCACCAGAGTGGACTGGCGGGCGGCGGAGAGCTGGGGGAGAGACTGCTGAGCTCTAACCAGGAGAGACACCCTCCTGAGCCCTCCTGCAGGCTGTTTGCCCTCAGTAGCTGGTACTCGCCTCTGGGAAGCCTCACCTTCCCCCCAGCCTATCTCCACACCCTCTTGACCACCACCTGGGCCACCTCACAGAGCCATGAGGACATCCCCTTAACCACGACAATTGTTCTTGAAGCCCCCAGAAAAAAGAGGAAGCCCTAGACCTAGCCCACAAGACCTGGCCCTCCAGCCTTCGCTCCCCACACCATCTGTATTTATTTGTTCATTCATTCAGACCTTCAGCTCTTGTTCAAGGAGGGCCTTCTTGCTCCCAGGCAATGGAGGGGCACCTGTCCCCCTGCCCCATGGCTGTGTGGCTGGGGGCAGAACAGGCTCAGAATCCTGCTGATCCACACAGCCCGCCACGAGGGTTTGATGGGCCATGGCTGCCTACGTGGCCTGGGTTCTACCAGCTGGGCCAGCGGGAGGGCAAAAGAGCAGGAGAGTGGAGGGCAAACCGAGGCTTCAAATCCCGCCTCACTGTGCGCCCATAGCTGGGAGGGCAGGGGCCACTGGGCCCCAGGGCAGTCCTGAGGGAAGCAGGAAGGGATGGGGGAAGCAACTCGGACAAGGAGCCCAGGGCTTTGTCCCAGGCAGCCTCGGGCAGGCCAGGCCCCCTCCCCCACCAGAGCAGTCGCCTGGCTGGAGCCGAGGGGAGGCCAGCGGCCCACTAACCCCGGCCCACCTCTCCCGCAGACCTGGGAGCCCCCCGTGGACACAGTCTCCGACACCCCTGCGTCCCGGGTTTGCCGCCAACGGCCCTGACAGAGCGGGGTCGGCGGGATCTTGCTCTCGGGGGTCCGCCAGAGACAGGGCGGCCCTGGCCGGGCTGGCCCTGCTGCCTTCGGTGCACACGCCGGGGCTGTGGGGTTCCAAGCCAACGCCCCCTCCCTGGCCCGGAGACCCGTCAGACCGGGCCGCCCTACATAAGTCAAGCCAGGCACGGGGCCAGGCACCTGCCCCGACGCGCCGCCCGCGAGCCACCGGACTGCCGCCCCGCTTCCGCGTTGTTCGCGGGCTTTCAGCGTGCGTGGAGCCGGCCAGCCCGCCCTCTGCGCCCGCGACCCCGCCCACACCTGGGCGCCGCTGGGGGCGGGGCGGGCAGCGGGCCAATGGGGAGGGGCGGGGCGGAGAGGAGACAGCCAATGGGCATGGGGCCTGGGGCGGGCTGTAGGCGCCGGGGAACGAATGGGGCGCGGTGGGGCGGGGCGTGCGGGCTGCGGGCCAATGGGGTCGGGGCCGGGCGCGCCCGCTGGGCTGGAGGCTGCAGGTTGCGGCGGCGCCCGGGGTGCCCGAGGAAAGGCCCGGTGTATGCCCGGGTGCCTGAGGCCCGCGACCGCCCAGGTGAGCCGTGCGGGCTCCTGAGCCTCCCAAGTGCGGAGCGCGATGGCCGGGCCTCGGGGGCAGCGGCTTGGGACGGAGGAAAGTTTTCCGCGGGGACGGTGGGGGACGGGAGGTCCGGCGCCCATGGGTGGCCGCACCTGCACCCTGCAGGGCGGGGCGCCTGTGGTTCGGCGCAGCTGCTGGGCGCCTGCTGGGTAGGGGGGCGGCGGCCTCCGGGCGAGCGCGCCGACTGGGCGGGAGGGCTCTCGGGAGCAGGGGAGGGAACTGGTCTGGGCTTGGGGGCCCCGGCCCGCGGGCTCGCTGGCTTGCGGGATGAACTGCTGGCGCGCGGGCTGGCGGAGGGGTTGCTCGGGCCTGGGGCTTGGTCAGCCCTGGGGCTCGGTCGGCCCTAGAGGATCGAGGTCTGGGTCGAGACTCTCCAGTGCCCCAAGGGCCTGAGGTCTCTTCCCTATGGGGGGAGGGGGGCGTTCCCATGGCAGCGGAGGGAGTCGTTTTTCGTGCGGGCGCCCTTGGACACCTGGGGACGGCAGCCCTCGGTGCCGCCCCGCAGGAAGGGCAGTGCCTCTGAGCCAGGTGACTAGGGGGAGGTGGGAGCAGGAAATCCTGGATCTGGTTAATGATTTGCCTTGTTCCGGGAGTGGGGGCAGGGCGAGAGGAGGCTGGTGAGTGGGGAAGCCTTAAAGTGCTTGACTGGGAAGGACAGCCTAGTTCCCCCTTTGGGGGGCTGGACTTGACTGACCCCCACCCCAGGAATGTGCGGCTTGCGGGTGGGGCTGGGCACAGGAGGGCGGAACTCAAGTGGAGGGGCCTCAGCCTTCAAATTGGGGGGGGGGGGTGAGCAGGCAGGAGGAACGGAGGAGAGCCAGCTGTGGTGGGGCCAGGCAGACCTGACCCATGCCCTGCTGCCTTTCTGCAGGACCGGGATGCTCTTGGGGCTGGCCGCGATGGAGCTGAAGGTGTGGGTGGATGGCATCCCACGTGTGGTCTGTGGGGTCTCGGAGCAGACCACCTGCCAGGAAGTGGTCATTGCACTTGCCCAAGCAATAGGTGAGTCCACTTTGGGGACAGACAGGCCTCACAGGTGGAGCTGGGGATGGAGTCCCAGATCTGGTTCCCTCTTCCCCTCAGGAGGGTGGGCTAGTCACTGACCACTCTTGCCCTCCCCCAACTCCTTGAGCCCAGTAGACAGAGTGGAGGTGGCTGGCTGCCCCCTTCTGTCTCTCCAGCCATCAGCAAAACAGACAGTGGGACACATAGACTGACCCTCCCCCCACCCCCGCCCCCCGCAGGCCAGACTGGCCGCTTTGTTCTCGTGCAGCGTCTGAGGGAGAAGGAGCGGCAGATGCTGCCCCAGGAGTGTCCAGTGGGTGCCCAGGCCACCTGTGGCCAGTTTGCCAGCGACGTCCAGTTTGTTCTGAGGCGGACAGGGCCCACCCTGGCCGGGCGGCCCTCCTCTGACAACTGCCCGCCCCCTGAGCGCTGCCCAGTTCGTGCCAGCCTTCCTCCAAAGCCACGGCCAGTGCTGGGCCGGGAGCCCCGCAAAATGCCGACCTTCAGCCTGGGGCGCCCTGAACTGGCCCCTCACCATGTGCCCCCTGATCCTATGGCCACGGTAGTAGTGCCCATGCCAGGCTGCTGCACGGACCTGCAGAGCCTAGAGCGGAGGGTGCAGAGGAACACGGTGGAGCTGGCCCAGGAGGCCTTCTGGGAGCAGGAGCTGCGGCGGGAGCAGGCACGGGAGCGTGAGGGGCAGGCCCGCCTGCAGGCACTGAGTGCAGCCACCTCGGAGCATGCCGCCCGGCTGCAAGCCCTGGATGCCCAGTCCCGTGCCCTGGAGGCTGAGCTGCGACTGGCCAAAGACACCTCTGGACCCCCCGTGCCCACAGCGTCCACGGCCGAGCGGCTGCGCCAGGAGCTGACCGCCCAGGAGCGGCAGAGTGTGGAGGTGCAGGGCAGCCTGGCCCTGGTGAGCCGGGCTCTGGAGGCTGCAGAGCACGCTCTGCAGGTGAGCCCGCGGGACCTGTCCCCACAATATCCCGGCGTGCCCATGGCCCTATCCTGGGACACAGATGCGGGGTGGTCTCAGGTCTGACGGGAGGGCCACGGAGGCCTGTGACCATGCCCCCTGAGGGTCTCCTGTGCCCCAGGCCCAGGCCCAGGAACTCGAGGAGCTGAACCGGGAGCTCCGCCAGTGTAACCTGCAGCAGTTCATCCAGCAGGCGGGGGCTGCACTGCCGCCAGCTCCACGGCCCGAGAGGCCCTCCCCTGGCACACAGGTCAGAGCCGCTTTGGAGGTGGGTAGGGACAGTGGGGTTCCAACCCCGCTCCAGGCTGACCTGCTCTCCCCACAGGACCTTCTGCCTCCAGCCGGAGAAAGACCACTTCTGAGAGCCCCCCCGAGTCCTGTCCTAGTGCCCAGCCTGAGCCCTGAGGGTATGTCTGCACCATCTGGGTGGGGTGGGGTCCTCCCGTGCCCCCCAGCCTGCTCAGCTGTGTCCTCCCTACAGTGGCCTCCATGAGGCAGAACTCCTGGAGGTAGCAGCTCCTGCCCCAAGCGGTGTCTACTGCCAGCCTGCCCGGCCCCAGGCTCTGGTGACAGCGAGACCAGCCCTGCCAGGTGATGGAGGGGGACCAGCAGCCACAGCAGGATCCTTTCCTCATGGAATGAGAAGGCTCGCACCCTGGGACTGAAACAGAACATCATGGAGGGGGCTCACCCCAGTCCTTGCCAAGTCTGCCAAGTGCCCCAGAGTATTGTGGGGTGTGGCCAGCTCAGGACTCTCCAGGCCCCGAGGGCTGTGCTCCTTGTTGGGGTCAAGGGACACAGGGATGGTGTACCACCTGTGGGGTGTGCATGTATGTGAGGTGTCCCTTCACTGTGTGCATGCGCGTGCGTGCGTGTCACCTCTACTGCCCCGACACTAAGACCTCAATAAACTGCCTGAAGTGGCCCGAGTGTGTCCTGAGGCTGAGCGAGCAGGACCTATGGGGTCTGAACTTGTGGCCCCACACTATGGTCAGTGGGGAGTACCTGGGTTGCTTGGTAACTGGCCGTGGCTGGGTCTCTTGGGGGGATTCCCTCAGGGACCAGCAGTCAGTAGGGTCCAAGGCTGAGGCTCCTGGGGCCCCACATTCAGGCTTCTCTGCTCTGCCCACCCTGGGGTTCTTGGCCTAGGCGGCAGCCTCCTCCCCTTTGAGCCTGATGTTGGACATCCTGGGCCTGGGGCCTAGCCTCCGACCTGCCCTGGGTGCCTGTCAGGACCCTTCTGCCTCCGGCCCGCACCCCACCAGCAGCAGAAACTAGGGCCACTTTCGGGTGGATCCTGGAGGGAGGATGCCGTGGCCAGACCTGCCTGTCAGGTTTATTGAGTCTCCCTGTGAGCCCGTGGGGGTAGGTCCTGAATGCCTGTCGCCCAGGTGGAGCTTTGCAGGCTCCTGCAGGTGTGGCCACAGGGGCGGGGTGTGCAGGGGCTGCCCTGCTTTCCACCCCACTTCAGCTGCTTCCTCCTGAAGCGTGGAATTTAGGGCTGGGCAGCACAGGTGGGCCAAGGACAGTGTCCACAGGCCAGTCACGGCCTGGCCCTCCAGCTGGCCATCACCTCAGTGCTTCATCTCTAGGGTGGGCCGGACCTCCCAGCTGCAGGAGCTATGGACTCTGTTAACAGCACCTGGAGGGCTGTGATGCCGTGGTACTGGGGATGGGATGGGGCATCAGGTCACAGAGGTCTTTGTCCTGGATTTAAGGAGTGGGCAAGTGTGCACAGGACTCCACCTTCTGGGGTAGCCCCTGAGTCTGGCCTCTTGTCCTTTGGGGCAGGTGCCTGCCCCTCGCCATAGGGGGACATGGAGGGCCTGACCTCGAAGAGACAGGAAGGGCTTCTGGGGGCAAAGGCCCAGGAGGGGAGCGACCTGTGGCTGGGCGCTGCCTGCCTGAGGCGCAGAGCAGGGGACAGGGAGTGGCCAGACAGACCACTTGGTGGAGGTGGAGGAAGGCTGATGGTGGCGTCAACAGGCCAGAAAACAGAGTTACTCCCAAGAAGCCCACAGTTCCCCTCTGCAAGCCCACTGGCACCTTCTGGCTGCTCTGCACCCAACAGCCTGCCCTGGGAGGTCCCTGGGGGCAGGGACCTGGTCTGGCCGGCTCAGGGCACCAAAGAGGGCAGGATGCAGGTCACAGGGGGCGCAGCTGAGGTGCAGAGACCTGATCTGGGTGGACCCTGGGTGGGAGGGCTAACGGGGTGGGCAGTCGCTACAGGGCCAAGGGGCTCATCAGGACCCTTTGGCCCTCTGAGGAGTCTGCTCACCCACCTCCAAAGCCAGAGAGGGTTGGATGTGCCTCTGGGCACTAGCTCCGAGCCCAGCATGGGCCCATCTTCCCAGACAAGTGCACACCAGAGACCCCCGCTGCCACATGGAGGGACTAGTCCATGCCCTTCCCTGTGTTCTGAGCTTCCCCACCTGTTCCCTAGACCCCCTCCCCAAAGTGAAGCTGGCCTGGAGCCAGCGGTGCTCACACACCTAAGGTGTTTGAGAAACACCTGTTCCTTCTGAAGGCCCCTTCCCAGGAACCCATCCCTGGTCTGCTGAGCAAAGAGGGTCTCCACTGAGCAAAGAGGGTCCCAGCCACAGAGAAAGGGTCCCCAGGCAGCTGCTGCACTCCCAGGTGTGGCAAGGGGGGTGGGGCCTTCTGTCTCCGTGGCTGCTCCAGGCAAACAAAATCCTCCACCTGGAGGAGCTGCCAGAAGGGCTTCAGATCACTAAGCAAGCTCTTGGTTGCAGAAAGGTTTACTTTTGAGTTTTAAATGGTGCTTTGAAAACAATGGTGTGAGTTGTGCTAAGGGGAGGGGCTGGGCTCGCCCCAAATGCACAGTCCGTGGCAGGGCGGGACCAAGCGAAGCCAGGCCCCCTTCCCAGGCTGGGGGTAGGGGAATGAGGAGGAAGGTGCTGAGGCAGGTGTGCCCCTGCTATAAGCATGGGGCAGACAAGCACTGTCCCTTTTGCTCCAGCCTGGAGGGTTCCCTAGGGGCCAGGCTGGCACCCCCATGACCTTAGGGCTCCTGCCCACCCCCAGCACAGACGTGTTCTCTAGGGCTGGCTGAGGATACCAGGGTTCACTGAGGGACACCCCACAGTCAGTCGCTTACAGGCAATCGCTTAAATGCCCCTGGCTCTCTCTCCAAAGGCTGCCCACAGTGTCCTCCTCCCCTGCAGACCCTGGACCCTGCCAAGCCTGCTGGGGGTGACACTTAAGCTCTGCGGTGACATAGCGACCCATTAGGGCAAGGTCCCTCCAAAGGCAAGTCTGAGTCTCCCGCTCAGCACCGCCTGCTCCAGCGTCCACCCACACTGGCCAGCGAGGGGAACAGCTCCTGCCTCCAGGTGTCCGAAGACACCCCCTGGCATCCAGCAGATCTTGACGGACGGACTGGAGACCTGCCAGCGGAGAAGGCAGGCCAGGCAGGCAGGCTAGGGGCGCCACGAGGGCACCCACATTAGCAGGCCAGCGGGGTCCTAGTCTTGCAGGATGTCCTCAGTGACTTCGAAGAAAGGATGCAAACGCACAGAACGGCCAAATGAAATTTAAATTCTTCCTGTAGAAAGAAAGCCTCCAGAGGTGGCCCTCAGGAGGCGCTCCCGGAAGCTCTGGTCCGGTTGGTGGAGCCCCTGGCATCACCCAGGGCTGTCCTCAGCGTGGTGACATCGGAGAAGGCCATCCCAGAACCTCTGCACAGCCTCCTGGGACACACAAGGAAAGAAAGTTCCCTCCAAGAGGGCGTCTGGCCCAACCTGAGCTCCACATGCGGACAGCGGGGAAGCCCCCGGAGGTCCCCCTTTCCCAGTCTGTGTCTCCCCACCCACCCCGTTCTGAAGTGGGGACAGGCAGATCCTGTCCATCAGGGCGCCCCCCGACTGGTCCGCTGCGCTCACCTCCCCTGGCCTCGGCGCGCGCCCTCCGCCCCCGTGTGGCCGCCCGCCCGCACGCCCGGGTCACAGAGAGGCCAGGGCGGTCGCGCAACCCAGGGACAGATCAGCCGCTGTCACACGCACAGTGGGTCCGGAGCAGCGCAGTGTGCGGTGGGCAGGGGCTGCCCTGCACCTGGAGGGCCGGCCGGTTGGCCGGCCGGGCGGGCGGAGAGGCCGCCCCCACCCTCCGCTGTCCCTAACTTGCGTCCGAGCGGTCCGCCCCTGCCCGGCTCGACAGCCGCAGCTCCCGGGGGAGGGCAGCCTCGGGGGTGCGCCCCCGCCCTCCGGCCTGGGACACCTCCGCGCGTCACCTGCGACCCCGGCGCGGGGCCGTCGCCCGGCTCTCAGCCCAACTTCTGCAGCTGCCGCGGCCTCCCTCCCGCCCCTGGCTGCCCCAGCCTCAGCCCGGCAGCCGCGCCCCGCGCCCAGCCCATATGCAAATCACTCTGGCCCCACAGCCAATGGCCGGCCGAACCGGGCCCGCCCTGCCGCGCCGCAGCCAGTGGGCGGCTGGGGGGGGGCGGGACCTGGCGGGCCGTCCCCCGGGCCGCCGCGCGTCCCTTCCCGGGCGAGGCAGGCGCGTTCCTTTCTGCACGTCGGCCTCCGGGAGGCGGCCGCCACCTGCCGGGCGGGGCTGCGGGCGCCGGCTCGGGCGCGGCCGGGCGCGGGCTCCCCCGCCCCGGGCGAGTGGTGCAGCCCTCGCCAGGTCGCGTCCCCCGCCCGCCCGCGGCGGTGGTACGGTCCGAGGCGGCTCCCCCTAGGGTGTGGTGGTGGGGCCGGGGCTCTCTCCAGGTTCGGGTGCCGGGCGGGGCCCTCCCCGCCGCCGGAGAGAACTGTGGGCCTCCCCGCACCCCGGCAGGTCCTCGCGCAGGGCCGCCCCCGGGCGCCGAGGTATGACCCGGGCCAGTCCTGCCTCCCAGCCCCGCAAGCTGACCGCCCCTCCCTGATGGTTCCGGGCGCACGTAGCCCGGGCCTGACCCGGGAGGGGCCTGAACGCGCCAGGACACTGCGCCCCCGGGACGCACGTACCGCCCGCACACTGCCCCGCGCGCCCCGGCCGACCTAGAGGTGGCCAGGGACGGCTGGGTCGGTGTGCTGGCGGGCCGGCCTCGGAGAGGGTCTTCTGGAGGACTAGCGCGTCCCGCGTGGGTCCCACGCGTGCCTCGGACTTAAACTCCACGGCCTAGGCGAGGCAGGAACGAGGCGCAGGACTCTGGGCGTCCAGCTGGCCTGCCCACGTCCTTTGCGAGGCCAGGACAAGAGCACCAGGTCTGGGCACTTAAGACAACTGTTCCACCGTCACAAGGACCCACAGGACCACCTTCTGACGTAGAATTACGGGACTGCTGGGTCCTCCAAACCCAAGGTGCCAGCTGGGGGAGTTTTGGCCCAGGGTCCTCCTCTTCACACACCCCCTTTCCCACCTCCTAGGCAGAATCATGAGGCATCCTGGCCCCTAATCGGGCAGGAAGGTGCCTGCTCCCTTCTGTTTCTGAGACAGTCCCCCCACCCCCAGGGTTAGCAGGAGCCTCCCCTTTCTCCTACCACCCCTCAACTCAACCAGAGTCAGGAACA